GCCGCACTTTGTGGACTCCGAACTCTGAGCACAGCATTTGCGAGTAACCGCAAATTAGTTTCAAACATCACACAAAACCCAATTCGAACAACAAAAACTACACATAAAACAGGCAACAAAACTGCATTGGCAGCCTTGCAAAATTCACAAAAATCCAATGCAGTAATAACCCAAAGCCTCTTTCCTCGACAAACGATGTTCGCCTTTATTCTGTTAATTTTTTTGTTGTTTTTTAGCTTTTCAAATAAGTTTACGAGCAAGCTTAGATTTTTCAGCACAGATAGTAAAAGTGACGCATCAAATGGAGCTGACTGGGAGCTGTAATTATAGGGTAGAGCGGGTTTACAGGGTAGCAGGAGTGTATGAGTTATAGAATAAATATAAGAAAATTATATAAAATATGTTTTAGTAAACAAAAACTGAAAGATATTTCTATCTAAAAGGTTTTAATAGGAAGAAAATGGTTATTAAACTTGGTTAATTATTTTTTTATTATATAAAATGTAAGATTTTTGCATTTTATTATTATTTAATTGGGTATTTAAACCTAATATTATGTAAACCTCTATAAACAAATTATATTAAGCAATTTAGAAGCTAAAACCCCGCTCAACTGGTAAAACAAATATAAACAACAATCAAACAAATTGCTAAAAATTACATAAGTTTAGCCAGAAATGTTTATTTCACACTGTAAATACTAGTTTTAAAATGATTATTAGCCCATAATTGAGGCATAAATAAAGTTTACTAATATTTTACAACTAGTTTTAACAACTTCAACTTTTATTTGATTTTTACAACTTGTTTTAATAAATTTACAAACCTAATAAGTATCTTCAAAATCCACTCCTTTTCTATATTCAATTCTGATTCTGATTCTGTGTTTCATGAGTCAATGACACAAACACTGGCTCACACACATGTTTATAATTCATTTTGCAATATTATTTTTTTTTGGAAATACAAAAACGTGCCTGCCAGGCCTGCCTCATCTCGCGACAACAATCACTTTGAAAGGGTCGTGTGGCTTTGCATCTTTATGGCCACAGACCCAGAGAGCCACATCAATAGAATCGGCCAAAACAAAACTAACTAACAATAAAAAAAATGTAGTTTTCCGAGGATTTTGTAATGCCTGAATGCTAAATTTGGTAACCATCCGCGGCAGCAACTAAACAGCAAACTAAACAGCCTCTAACATCAATAATAGATGCCAAAGAGCTTTCAACTCTCAGCCGGTTTCGCTTACTTTTATGACTTAATTTTGTGTGCAGAAAATACTTTGCACATCTTATTATTTTGCGGTTTTTCTTTGCAAAAAATAATAATAAAATGGATTTCAAGAGAGTTTTGAAAAATAGATTTTCTTGCGGTTACGATTGAAGGCTTGGTCTCGATCGATGCCAGAGTCGGGGCACGTGGTCTCGGCTTCAATTAATATAAGTAAGTTAGTTTGTTTTGCCACGAGACGGAAGTAATCAATGACGATTATTTTAAATGGACTGCTAATGCCAGGCAATTGTACTTTGGCCTGTCTATCAATTCGTTTTCTGCTGGACCACAGAAAATTAATTTTAAAAACTGGAAACTGGGTTTATGGCGTTTCATTTTCATTTTATTCCTTGAAGTTGGCCTCTTTAGAGAACTTCTTCCTTATTGTGTTGGGTATTTTAATGGGTTTTAATTTTATTTAATTGTATTTAATTTTAATAAATTACAAGAGGAATTTATTATATTTTTTTTATGATTATTTAGCTTATATTAAAAACTCTAATTATATTAATTTCAACTATTTGTAAATACTATTAATATTAAAATGAAATATTCTTGATTTTGCTGTATAAATTTAAGAATTATTTAGGTAAGTCATATGTCATAAATTAATTGGTTTTATTTAGGTATTTTTTACTACTTTTGAGTTTATTTTAACTGGGTTTCTGGCTTATATTATAATTTTTCCTTGAATTTGAACTTCATCCTTTTATTTTTAAAAATTTAATAATCAATAGAAACTCTCTGTATATTTTATAAATATTATTTAAAACAATTTAAATTAAATTTAAGTGATTCATAGACTTAATAAATTAATTTTAAATATTTAATTGATGTATTCTCCTTTTTCTTATCCACAAAAATAGTAATTATTTACTATAGACCCAAGTTCTTCTAATCAAACTAGTTTTATTTAGTTAAAAATAAATATTTCTTAATTTAATATATATTTTTGTTGCTTTATTTAACTCGAATTTAAATCCAAGAACTTTTTTGCACCTGGAACTTCCTTTGAACTCTTTTGCCACCCAGCTGAAGCATTTCTTAGCCACCAAAAAATGAGGCTTAAATTATTGGCTTGGCATTTAACATGACAGCCACATTAAAGTGTCCACTTTGGCAACCTGTGCCGCACTATATACACACCCCATATAGTATATATATATACACTTTTGGCCATATGTTATATATATAGGAGTCAGGCTAGAGCTGCTGGCGTTTGCTATAATTGAGGTTTGACGTCTCTGGTCGGGCTGGGTTCAGACGACGGCTTCGGGGCTCAGACTCAGACTCTGACTCCACTCTCGAGGAAATGCTGACACAACAAAAAAAAACAAAAACAATTTTTTTTTCAACAGCCTTACAGTTTTTGGTGAACTAATTGTCACTTTCATTGGGGTCCGCACAATCCCAGCAATTTTAATTCAATCCTAATGCGCCCAAATCATTCCGCACTCGTGGATTGTGCAAGTGTCTGGCCCGCCTGGACGGACAATCGCTGATGCAATTCACACTGGAACAAATTATTTTAATACTTTGTGTAAGTATTGGCAAATGCAACTCATAAGTCAGTGGCTAATCTGCGTTTTATGCAAAGCAACTCGATGCGAGAAATGTTTGCCCGAGAGAGGCCAGTACCAGTTCTTGGCCCGTAACCTTGGGCCAGAAAATATACATATGTACGACGACGACGCTAAGAAGACGCTTCCAGTTAGTTAGCAGCGTTATTCACATCCGTTGTGTAATTGCCCAAAGACAGAGCAAAAAAAATAATGGAAAATCTATCAAGAGACGGCTTGGAAAATACCTGGTAAATAAAGAATATAACTTTGTTATATATATTTAGTTTAATATTTTAGTATAGCTAATTTTAAATGACTATAATTATATTTATTTATAATTATAAATTTTCAGAATTTTAAAATATTATAAATTTATGAATTATTTCTCAATTTTTAAATTATTTCAATTTATTTATGAATAAAATAGAGAGAAACACACCTAATATGGGGTCAATATGATCTTGAAATAATTTAAAATTATGATTAAATATATCTTTCTCACAATTTCTAGCACTTTATAATTAAATAAGTATTCTGGAGCATTAATATATTAATATGTATCATTTATGGATATGATTTTAAAATTATATATAAATTAATTACAAGAAATTTGTTAGTTTTCTTCCTCAAAATTGATTTTAAATATAATTCTTACAGCTACCAAAATACAAATTTTTATTTCACTCATTCAACATTTTATATTCTTCAAAAATATATACAAATATTTTTTTTTTTAGATTTTACAAACCCCATATACCCCATAAATAACAAAATACCCCTAAAAACACTAAACCCATTGCGTGGCACTCGACGGCTCGATGGCAATTACAGCTTGCCAGAACCATTAACAGTTATTAAGATCAAATCCAAATTCAATTTATTTGCAAATTAAACGATTGGCTAATTCCATGTTGTCCAAGTTGTACTCAGATTAGCAGCAATCCAGATTACGGCACCGATATACTATATGAGATTTTGCTGAAATATTAAGTATACGTTGTGGTGGCCAAAGGAAAGGCAAAACATTTTGTTTAAAAGTTAATGGATAAATATAGTAATTGTTGCTTGGGATTTTTGTTCAACAAGTAAAAGATTGTTAAGTTTTTAATTTGTAAAGAAACACCTCAAAGTATGCCAGAAAAATGTGGTGAATATCTTAAACCTAGCTTAGTAAATCCCACAACCTTGTCTATATTATTCAAGCTTAACTTTTGCAGCCACAAATTTTGAATGAAATTAAGAGCTTTTATTTTTTTTAGCTTACATTTTCAGCTGTTAACACTTTTGACCATTTGGCGGGTCAGCAAAAGCCACCGGAAGAAATGTCTTGAGAGCCAATTAAGTCTATGAAATGGGCCATCCGAGATACAGAAGAGAAAAAACACTAAAAACCAAACAAAACAAAAAGTCAACAAAAAAAAGTAGGCTTATGTAAACAGTAACAGATTTGCGGACCGTGAAAATCTGTTTTTTTTTCTGTTGTTTCTGTCTCTTGAGGAAAACGCCAACGGAAATGGCAAACTTTGAATATTGAATGGCAATATTTTTGCACTAATGAAATTCAAAGCTTTCAGAGCATTCAATTGGCCGTGAGACACATCGATTAAAGCTTCTCCCGAAAAGGGGTGTAGTTCCAACTGAATTAATGGATGCCAAAGTGTAAATTGTAACGCCAACATGGCAAGCCAAGTCTATGGGCTGCATCTTAATTAATCATCTTTAAAATGCTCATTATATGTATGGAATTAGGTATTAGGAAGGGGAAAAGGGGGAACTGTGCATATTTTAAGGTATATAGATTCTAAATTTTCAAAAAAAAACAGAATAAATAAAGATTAAATAAGTAAATATTAAAGATTCACCTTTAATTCCTTTAAAAACCATATGAAGGTTAAAGTTTAATCTCTGAACAAAAATAAGCAAAGAAAGTCTTGCCAGTATGAACTTTTATCTTTAATTTTATAGTAAAATATTTTTTAGGGGTTTTAAATTATATATTTAATTTTATAAAAATATATTCAGTGATATATTATGAATATAGATTTAACCCTGGAAATAAAAATAAATAAAATATCCGAAAAATATTATATTTATTCTTTAACAACTAAAAATAAATAAAGAAAATAAATCAACCACAATTCCTTTAGTTTTTCCACTCAAAACTTTTTTTTTCAAATTTTTATTTTACAAAATTTTGTAAATAACTTAAGTTAGTTTAATCTTTTTATACGTTTTCCTCTTATATTTGATCCAAAAGCCTTCTAGGTGTCGAAGCATCCTTTGCAAGTCACACCACTGCTGAGGGAATCCTTTCAATTTTTGATCCAAAACATACAAACTAAAATTTGCTTAAGAAACTACCGATGATAATGCTGCTCCTTCTACCCCCGCTCAGTAGTGACCCGCATAGGGACTCGCATAGTGGCCATAGTGTCCCGAATCGTGGCCATAGTCATGACCATAGTGTCCATCGTACTGGGGGATGTACTCGTACTGGCCCTGGTTGTAGTAGCCATCATCGTAGTCGTAGTGGATGGGAGCAGCTGCCGCCGGTGCATAGTGCTTGGCCACTTGAAGTTGGGAGAGATAGAGAGATATATAGACATATAAAGTTTAGTTGCTTGGCTTAAATTTATTTCGCTGACCGACGCTGTTGTAATAATGACCGACAAAAAAAAACTAAACAGCCGTAACAGCTGCTAACTGTTTGCCATTGTTGGTAAGTAGCTCAGCGAGCCAAAGAAAAAAATAAACGAAAAATAGTATATAAAATAAAACCAAAGATTTCAATGCTGACTAAAGCATTTTCTGGGCAATTTCTTTGCAATTCTCCTTTTGGCAAATAATTTTTAAGGCACGAACTCGTCAGTCAATTGGTCACAGGTGCCTGTTGCCGCCGCCGTTTTTTTTCTTTCTGTCTTTTTTTTTTTGTATGCAAAACCAGCCAAGTTCGTTGCCTAAGTCTTTTGTTTTCGGCGCGCTGATTTCTTTTGCCGTGCGTCTTGCTGATAATTCACAATTAAAATTGCACCGCAGCACCCACAACAATTATGAGTTTTCACATATACATTTCCCAGGCTGCTACAACAACAAAAACAACAACAAAGGCATTGCGACATTGAGAAAATTAAAGCTAAAGCCTCGCACTCCTAAGAGTTGAAGGGGAGAATGGAAATTGCTGAAGAAGAAACAGCAATTTTCGTGAAAAATTATGCTGCGGTAGCTGTGTGTTTTGGGAAAGATGATGCACCTCCACCTGACATAATCTGTGTGGGAAATTTCAGTAACCAAAAAGTGCAAGCCGAGACTAGAAAAACCTGAGAAGCCAGGCCAGATTCGAATCAGATCCGGAGCAAAGTGAGGTAACCCAGTGATGATGGGAGGGGCGTGTCGCTGGATTAGTCAACCATGGGATGTTACACATATATTTGTAACCCAGTTACAAGTCACCAGACACACACTCACTCCAGCTTGGCCTGAGACTAATTGCAATTTATTGAATTAAAATTGCCAAAGCAAATCTGCCACCCAAGCTAAGTACTGAAGCGATTACAATGGATTTATGGTAAGACATTCTCAGACTCAGTAGGCTGTATAATAATTGCCGTAGCTGGCCAAATCAAGAGCAGCAGCAGCAGCATCATCATCATCATGATCATCATTGTAGTCTTCGTCGGGGCGCAATTTGCGATACTGATTGTTCAGATAGTTGGCATGCCGCCTGAACAGCTTTAGCATGCGATATGTGTTCATGCCTGGAAATGCAAGCAGAGAGAGAGAACACACATGGAAATGTCTGAGAGTAGGATGGGGGGTGGAAACATGGGAAACAGAACTGTGGAGGAGGAAGTGAAGTCCAGTTGAGTGCTAACTAAGTGCCGCTAAGCTAAGGAGACTCCTTAATACCAGAACATAACCCTCTTCAAAGAATTTATATGTATATCTTACCGTAGGGCGCCGGGGAAGCCACCACCAGAGGTGCCGCCACTGGAGCCACATGCTTTACCACATGGGGTTCATAGTGGGTCAGCACTGGCTTGTGAGCCACAATGGGCTTGGCCACCACTGCCTGGGCATGAACAGTGGGACCCGACTTGGTCACCACAGCATTGAAGCCATGAATGGGATCTGCGGTGTAGTCCACCGTTCGAATAGAGCCATCGGGCTCTACCAGAGAGTATTGACCTAAAAGGGATATCAGGGAAATATATATAGGAGTTATGGGTTAAGGATTAACGGGTTATTATTACCCTTGACCACATCGCCATCGCGGGTCTCATGCTGCGACTTCACATCGCCTGTGGTGTGATCAGCCACGCCATAGTTGAAGGCATATTTGGGATGATCCTGGTTTAGGGAAATTAAATATAAAAAAAATAATAATTTTTATATTACAAAATTTTAACAAATTTAACATTTAAAAAAGAACTATAATAATTTATGATAGAGTCTAAATGTAATTAATAAAATGTTTTGAATATAATAGGTAAATAAAATAAAATAAAAATAAATATTTGAGCATTTTAACAATTAAAAAAAAAAGGTTATTTTAAATAATAATTAAGTCTAAAGATACTTTATAAAATGTTTATATAAAGGAATATTTTTCAGAATATTATAGGTTTGACTTCCGCCTTCTTAAATATATTTTAAACTTTAAAAATGTTTAGTTATAAAAAAGGACTTTAAAAGTTACAAATTTATAACATTTTAAGGCAAACATTTAAAGCTTCTTGTTAAAGATTTAATTTTTTTATAAAAAATTATTCATTTTTCTATTTTAAAAAATTAAAAACAGCCATTTTATAAGCTATTTATATTTGTAAATTTAAGCTAATTTAAGTTTCTTGTTAAAAACTTAATTTTTCTAAACAAAATTATTACATTTTCTTTTTTATGAAATTAAAAACTTACTTTTCTTTAGCAAATTCAAAATTTCAGCCGATTTTAAACTATTTTATATACAAATTTAAGCTAATTAAAACTTTATTTAATAATATCCTTATTTAAACTTTTAAATATATTCACTTTAAAACTCACATAATAATCCAAAGCATATCCTGGCCGCGCCACAGCAACACCGGCGCACAGAGCCAACGAAAGGATCACAAAGCACATGAAGTTTGCCATTTTATTTCAGGAATTATATATATATAATTTCTTTAAAGCTTCAACTTTGAAATATATTTGGAGAAATATATAAATTTTTGCTAGAAATATACACAAATAGACACTACACTTTAGTTTAAGGATTAAGCCTTGAGGTTTTTTTCTATATTACTTGGAGTATTTCAACGGCACCAGATACAAACACCGCCAAGCTGCCCGGAATACTGTGGCGATTCTAAAGCGGGTTTTCCATTAAATAAGCGCGAAATGTGCAAAAGCCGGCAGAGAAGTCGACAGAGCGGCAGAGACTCTTGGTTTTTCTCCGCTTCTCTGTTTCTCAGCGAACGAGGCTGCTCCAGAGCTGTGACGTGTACTGTGTGTGTGAATGGAGTAGGAGTTGCAGCATGAACGGATGGCATCGGATCAGGTCGGAGGAGAGCAGAGCAGAGCAGAGCAGCGTATCGCATCCATGGGATATTGCCAAACGCAGTCCCGGGTTCCACTGAATGGGGTGGCTTGTGTTTGGTCTGGTTTCTGTGTCTGCAAATCAGCGACACATTTCTCAAATCTGTTACCAATCCCCCAAACGCCATTGTCAATGAAGTCATCAGCGATAATTGTGGGTTTCCACAGGTGGAAGGGTAACAATCACTCTAGAAATAGATAAATTTAATTATCTGAGAGAAAAGAGGCTTTAAATAATAAATAAATATGTATAAAAATTATTAGAAAATATAAAAAAAATATAAAAAATATAAAAGAATATAAAAAAATATAAATAAATATAATTTCCATCAAAATTAAGTTCCGGAAACTTGCATTCTCTTCTTAATGGCAATAATATCTATAATTCTTATGTAAATACAAACCACCTTTCCCTTAATAATACGTTTCCTTTTTACACCCCAGCTCTCCTTCAACCATAGTGTTTCCCCTTAAGAATTATGCTAGATTAATCATTCCGACTTAATCATTAATTTCCTTTATTTTGCTGCAAGAAATGATTGGCCTGCTCCAATTTAACTTAACAACTTAATTCTTGGCAAAAAAGGAAAACAGAAACCAAACAGAAACCGAAACCAAAATAAATCGCTGACTCTGAATAACAAAGAATCGAAATCTAAATCTAAATCAAAGACTTAAATCGGGTCAAGTTGCAATTGCAGCACAATGCGGCCCTAGTTATTCGGCACATGCGAAATTCTCAGTGATCTACTTCAATGACAGCAGGCCGGCAGCAGTTACTAAGACTAGTAACAACTTAGGACTTGGTTCTTTTTTTGTCTCTGAAGGTCAAGCTCATTTTGACTTTACAGTTTAAGCCACCATTCTGGGCCAAGAAATGAAAGCAAAAGTGACTTCTAAGGAGCGGAATTTATGACATAAAATTGATGGTATTTCTAGGAGAGTTGGGAAACTGACCTTTTGATGGGAAAGATGATATTTATTTGATGGAAAATATAAAGTATTTTCTAGATTAAAGTTTCTTTTAAGATACAATTACTTTAAAAAGGTAAAAAATATGAATTAAAATAAGTTTAAAGAAACCTCTTAAAATATTTGTATAATAAGCTTTATAAATATAAATAATAATCCCCATTTAACCCTTAACAAAAGCCATCTTATATGCTTTTTCAAACTGTAATTTATGGCCTATCCTTGAACCAAGATGAGAACGTGCCAATTGCGGTCGATCTGGCAGCCAACAAACTAATTTAAGAAATATTGTCAAACCGCAAAAGAGGCTTTAAAACTAGAGTTACCATGATTAGAGCTAGTAATACCATCTTAATGAGGGCTAGTTTAGTGTCCAGTTAAATCAAAGGCAAGGGGCGTGGCACAGACTCTTTAAGAGTAAGCCAACTTAGGAGACCTTCAAACCTTTTTAGCAACAATTGTTTCTCTCTCTCTCTTAAACTTTTTTTGGCTTCGACTGCGGTTTTTGTAAAACTAAATACTAGATTAAGTCAATTTGCATGCCGCCAAAAAAAACATTTTGCTACCTAGACTTGGGAAAATTCAGTCAGCAATTGTTGGCAATGGTTTTCCGAAGGTTTTCCTCCACATGTCTAAGAAGACATCAAAAGACATCACATATGCGTGTGCCTGGGGCATTGTTTTTGGTTTCTGGTTTCTTGGTTACTGGCTACTGCCTTCTGGCAATTAACTTAAATATATTTAACCTGCGGAAAAACAAAGCAAATTCTTTAAGCTGAAGAATACTCATGGGGCCCCCCAAAAAATGTTCTTAAATGCGGGGGGCAAGTTTATGTGGGATGAGAACTTTTGGGATTGCATTCTTTATGATTTTGATAAGTTAGTTTGTTTAGTTTGTTTTTTGATTTATAATATCTTATAGTTATTTCCTTGAAGACTCTTTTTTGATAGTTCTCTTTTTTTATTAAGAAGATTTTCTTACAGGTTTTTGAAGTAACTTAATGGCCTTTGAATAGCTCTTAAATTGGATTTCCTTTGGAGCTACTACCTTTGAGTCTTAACAATTAATTCTTTTGATCCTTCGTTGCTCCTCCTTTGCTACTTCTTTGCTCCTCTCATGAATCTCCATAATTTCCATTGACTTCAAAGGCGAATCATTCTTCAAAACTGAAATTCGCATTGCCATTTTGGCATGAGGTCGCACTTTTTCAGCTAAATCCATAAGCTCGGATCGCGGCACTCTACTCTGGTGACTTTGACTTGGTTTACTTACTTGGTCACCTAATTTCTTGTCTTGTTTGCCCACCAACTAATTTGACAATGGAGAAGACCATCGTTTGGGGGGACTTGCAACATGGGGAATGAACTCCACTCCACTTCACTCCATTCCAGTCCCCAGTCCAAGGTGCGGGTGTTGCAAGTCTCTCAGAGGTAACAACAGCACTTGGCTGTCATTGTTGTCGCCCTTAGTTGGCCATGGTCCAGTGCCTTTGGACCAATTGAGGAGTTACCATTGTTAACAAGCCAAGTCAGCCAGCCCTGTTACAGAATGACCCGTGGCCAATGCGTTGGCATCCGCGTCGGCGGTGGTGGTAATAAAATGCAAATGAATGGCAGCCCCTGGCCAGGTATAAATTTCAAGCGAATTATTCGCACCTCGTCGGCCAATTTGCTGCAGACTTTTAGCCATCATGCATCAAATTAGCAGACCAACTAATCTGGTTAGCTTTGTTATTATATAATTGAGTGGGGGGCTGAGACTGGGACTGGAACTGCTACTGATTATGTCTCTCCTCTAGTGGTAGCTGTCTTCAATTTATGCGCTTCTGCTATGCTACCAGCTTACTTTGGTTTAGTTAGTTAGTTGCTCAACACATTAATCATCAATTAATGGCATTTTTCAATTACGCAGAAGAAGGCAGGCGACATTTAGCAGTTAAACAGTGGTAAAAAAAAATAAAAAATAGTATAGGAAAAATATTTATAGAAGATATGAGTTATAAAGAAGGTACAGAGTTATTTTTTAAAGTCTATGGAGTTAGAAATAATTATAAAAAAATTTAACAATATAAAAATTGCTAAAATTACTTGGCTTTATTAAATTACAAGAAATTAAAAAACTATTTTTATATAAATTATAAAGATTTTCGAGCCATTTTGTACAATTTTCTTTACCAATTTAAGCCATTTCCCATAACATTTTCTCTCTCAAAAAGAAATAGGAAAACCTTGCCTTTTCTTATATTTAAAATCTAGTTAATATAAATTTATAATATAATATATATCCCTTAATGTTAACCCATAATTAGTGAACACTGTGCCACTGCCACAAACAAATCAGCAAAGCAATTTAAACCTAACCCCACTCTCCCCCCGAATGAATGCTCGGTATTTTATTATCTATAAATTGTATCAGCTACGATCGATGCATATCTTAGAGGTAGCATCTTAATGTTGCCGCCACTTACAGATCGCAGATACTTGTACTCGCAGATACGCAGATACAATAACTGCCAACGATGCCATATAGAGAGCACGTGTTGGCCACATTGTCGCCTTGAATGTCAACTGGTCACAGCCAGCAAAAACTGCAAAGATCGAATAGAAACTAAAATATAATACTTGGACTTTAGTAACTGTCATTTGGCGTTTTGAAGAAGAAGTCAAAGCTGGCAATCTGAAAGGTTATTGGAGCAGTGAGTAAGAGCCAAGTTTATGCATTCCAATCGACATTGAGCCAAAGTGGAAGTGGAGGTGTTCTTGGAGTTGGGGTTTTGGTTTTTGGTTAAAGTACAGAGCTCTAGTTAGCCAACGGAAACTAGTTCCTTCCGGCATTTCCCACCTCCGCCTCCCCGAGGGCGGCACCTGTCCGTTGTAGTTTCGGATCCGGCAGAATTAATGGACACCACGTATGAGAGATTCACCTCTTTGTTTTGGCCTGCCTTCGAAAAATGCGCACATTTAAACGCTTCGCTGATCACTGATCTCCTGATAAATTCGGGCTTTATTTTTCAGAGCCCAGCGTTTTCCCCAACGTCTCTGTTTTGATAGCCAAACATTTGTTTGAAACAAGACCACGTTGTGTGCCCATTAAGAGATCAATATATCGCTTTGTTTTGTGTCTTTCGCACGTTAAAAGTGACGGAAATGCCAAGATTTGTTGCATGCGGAAGCCTCCACTAAACTCTAACTCACATCATCTCTCTGGTGGCTTATGTTAAATGCTCTGCTTTATTGTTTATTGTTTATTTTAGATGCCCCCGCCGCCACCCTCACTGGTGACCACATTTAGGAGCAACTCTTGTGGTCTCTTTCCCAGGCCGCTTGTAAAAGTAAAAGTGCGTAAATGGATAGGGAAAATGCGGTGGCTCCCGGTTGACCTTGCCCAGGTATCTTCTGGTATTACTCCAATTACGATTATGTATTAAAGGGAATAGTTTTCCAGGGCGGTGTTTTGGTAGTTATCTTTTAAGTGGGGGAAGTCTACAAGGATCCTGAGGATTTGTTTAACTTTTCTTGATATTTTAAATATTTATTCTAATAAATGTTTTCAATTAACAGGTAAAAGTGCTTTATAACCTTGTAATCGTTGACTTTGTCTTTTATGGAACTCTAATAAATATTATAATTAAAATATTTATGTTAAAAATACGAAACTTACATGATATTCTGTTGAAATGGAAATATATATGTGTATAAATATATTTTATAAACTTAGATAAACTTATATATTACCTTTCATGTGAGTGTTATAGCTCGAAACTAAATTTTTAATTGAAGATATCCTTTTTGTCTCTCGAAATCGTATTATTATTGTTAAAAAGCTTAAAAGTTGATAACTTATTTGGCCCAATACAAAAAGGCCTAAAAGTTTACAATGCCAACTAACAATAATCTAAGTTTTTCAAATAAAATTGAAAGTTCATCTTAAAGTTTAATTAATAAACTCGGCCTGAAAGTTGACTATTGAAACATTTTCAAAATTAAACAAAAAAATAAACCAGAAGCAAAAAAGGTTAAGCTTTTCTATAATACATTTTATCTTATAATATTTTTTATAAATATAAATTTTTTATTTTATGTATAGGTAATACTTTAAATAATTTATTAAATATCTGTTAGATACTTATAAGATTTATAGTGATCTCTTTGATATAACATAATCATACTTTTTATACCCTTGCAGGGTATTATAATTCCAGTCAGAAGTTTGCAACGCAGTGAAGGAAACGTTTCCGACCCTCTAAAGTATATATATTCTTGATCAGCATCAACATGCGAATCTTTCTAGATATGTCCGGAAGAAATCGATTTTTTTGCCATTTTTACGAAATTTAACATTTTTTAATTTTGATAAAAAATTGAATTTTCAAAATTTTTAAATGAAGTATGTAGATTTATTAACTGTCAAAAATCTTGCACAGAACAGTTTTCCGATTTAAAATTAATGCTCTTTAGGCCTAGTTATGATATTTTTAATTTAAAAAACATCAAGATTTTTTTAATATAAAAAATCCGATTTTATAATACAAAATAATATTTTTCTAAGTCAAGGAATCATTTCCGACCCCATAAACCATATATATTCTTGATCAGCATCAACAGGGGAATCTTTCTAGACATGTCCGGAAGAAATCGATTTTTTTGGCCATTTTTGCGAAATTTGATAAGGGGTTACATCATTAAAATTTGCAAAAATGGCCAAAAATTTTGATTCCTTAAAATTTTAAATTTGGTATGCAGTTTTTTTAAAATCATAAAAACTAACACAAAACTGCTTTCCGAATCGAAATTAATGCATTTTTGGCTTAGTTATGATATATATTAATTGTTACCTGCAAGGGTATACAAACTTTGGCTGGCCAAAGTTATCTTTCTTTCTTGTTCTATCTAAAACTCTACAGCAAATATCATTTTCAGGTATTTTCACATTACATTAAGTATATATCAAATATAAATATATTAAAATTAATTTCCCTTTCTTAATATTATAAACTTACTTAAATTTACTTCAATTTGATTCCAATCTACCATCTCCCACAATGAGTGTCAAGGCAATCCAAAAGCCAATCAAAAGATTGACATGCACGTGTTTCAATCGTACAGATGTCAGAGTTCTTCGATGGTTAAATTATTTAATAGATACCAACTGGTTACTGGTTATGGGCTGATCCAATGCTAATCAATTGACAATGCTTACCTTCACCTTTACCACCGACGCCCACAAATTAACTTACGCGATAATTGTCAGCCAAGTGGCAGTGCTCTACCCATCAATTTCCATAACTCTCGCTGATAATTGCGATCATAATTAGCAATGAAATCATTGGCTGATTGAAAGTGAATGCATTCTCGTCTAAATATACAGTTCACTGAGCGGTTTACAGTGATTCATGAGCAATTAAGTTTTAAATAAACTAAGAAAACAACTTTTACCATATGTAAAATATAAGGTTAAGATTAGATTCTTAAGTAAAGAAATCTGTAAAGACTTTGGTGTAATATTTTAAGTGATGAAAATCATTAGTTGATTTTACAAACATTTTATTTTTAATACTACATATATATTTATATATTAAAAAAATGTATATGTATTAAAAAATATACAAAATATACAAATTTAAATATTAAAAACCTACAAAATATTTTATGTTAAGCTTTTCAAGTTTATTTGTTTTTATTTGTTAATTTTGTATTAATTTTTAAATTTTGTTATTAATTTTTTTTCCTGATTTCATAACTATGCACTGAAAATCTTGTGTGCCATAGCAACTTTCATGTGGCTAAATTTATACGCTACCCCTCTTTAATTTTTAAGAATATTTATACCCTTTAAAACTTAATCGTTTCAATAAGTAAACTCCATAATTTGAATTTTTGTAATTCACTACGTTTTGTATTTATAGCATTGTCAGCAGTTTCAGCTTCAAACTTAAAAGTATACACAAAGTTATTATACATAAGAAATACATAAATTGTGTGTGTTTTTTTGTATGCATTTTCTGTTTGTTTTGTTCGTTTTTCTTCATCTTTTCATAGATTTTCTTTTTGTTTGTTTGTCGTGGGCGTGGCATGTGGTGTTTTATGGGCGTTTGTTCCTTCCTCAGCTCGGTGTTGATATTTACAAAAGAGAAGCTTGGATCACAAACAAAAAAAAAGAGAGTGGCGCGAAAGCTGAGACAGAGACGGCAGGGAACAGAGGGATAAAGGTGACAGAGGATCCTGGACTGGAATCCCTTAATCCTATTTACACAGGCGATTGCGATGGTCATGACTGGGTACACTGGACACTGAGTATTGCAGCAGGCTTCGTCAATCATCCGTTTCCGGTTTCCGTTTTCCGTTTTTTGATTTTTCTTGTGAGGTCGTCAACGTGCTTAATAAATTACAGAAGAGTGTTGATAGTGGTGGTGGTGGTGTTGGTTGGTTGGTGGTGCTTGTGCTAGTGTTGCTCCTCCCACCCCAATCTTAGTAGTGGGCCACATGCGCATGGGCATTATGGGTGGCATATCCGTAGGCTGGGACGGCGGCATGATGCGCCAGAGAGCCGGCATAGGGAACAGCCGGAGCGGCGGCCACATGGTGAGCAATGGCCGGAGCAGAGTGAGCCACCAGGGGAGCAGCATGGGCCACCAGAGCGGGGGCATGGTGGACCGGAGCATGGTGAACAGTGGGGCCGGTCTTGTGGACAACGGCATTGAAGCCATTGTGGTCATCGGCGGTGTACTCCACGGTGCGCACCGAACCATCGGGCTCCACCAGGGAGTAGGAGCCCTTCACAACATCACCATCACGGACCTCATGCTGGGACTTGACATCGCCGGTGTGCGAGTCAGCCACACCGTAGTTGTAGTGGTACTTGGGGTAGGCCTAGGAATTAGTTAGAAATTAAAAAAGAATTAAAATATAAATATATTTCAAAATATAAGTCTGTGCTGTAAAATTAAGTAAGTTCTTATAGTGAAACCTGGCTTGGCCCCGTGAGAAGTTCAGATTAGTTGCGGATTGAGTGCTAATTTTGTGGCATGCCACACGCCACACGCCACCGCCACCGCATCATGCTAATGGTCTTTGGCTCTAGCTCGTGGGAAAATGGCCAAATGTCAAAAGCTGCTGCGACCCTGGACAGCCGCTGGCCAATTGAGAGTTGGCACAGATTAACCAACATCAAAAATCTTTGTTAGAAAAATATTACTTTGTTATTTTCAGGAAGACATGGCGTATGAGTAATTTTTTAAGAATTATTGGAATTGAAATTATTGAAAAAATATATAATTAATCTTTATAATTTCATTGTCTAAGAATGAAATTTGAATTATTTACTAGTTTAGATAAAGAAAACTTCCTTTGGTGTTAAATTAAGGCGGCAACTAGTCGTATGAGTAATATTTCAGAAGCTAAATAATCTTATAAAAAGTATTTCAGAAGCTAAATAATAATGTTATTTGACTAACATCATTTTTGTAAATTCTTTTAGCTCTGAAAAACAATGCAAAAAAATGTTAATAAATTAATTTTACTTGTAAAATGTTAAAAAACACCTTCTTTTATGGTAATAATTAAATATTATCGCATTTAAAATCCTTCTAATATTTTGAAAACTATATCTTTTGGCTTTTAAGACGTCAACTAGTCGTATGAGTAATATTTCTGAAGTTAGATAATCATGTTATTTGACTAATTTAATAGTTAAACAATGTGTTTTAAAAGTAAAAAAAATTTTAAAAATTTGAATAAATTATTGTTACTAGTAAAATGTTTAAAAACACCAAGAAAATATTATTACATTATTTTTTGAGCCTTAAAAACCTTCTTTTATGGTAATAATTAAATATTTCCAAACTAAAATCCTTATAAAAATTTTTTAAAATATTTCTACTGGTTTTTCTGTAGACCCACTTACATGATAGTCGATTCCCTCGTCATGATGACCACCATGTCCGGCATAGATGGCCGGGGCGGCGGCATACAGACCAGCTCCATGGCCGTGCAGGACTCCGGCGGAGGCGGCGCTCAGGACAGCCAGGCAGATGAGGGACTATATAAGGCACGAAGGGGTATAGTTTTTTTTTTGGGTTAGATCACAGTAAAGCACTTTGATATATATGGTAGATATATCCTATATATCCTGTTCCACTCACTTTGAAGAATGCCATTGCGAATGGAGTTGGGTTGTGGTTTTGTGTTTTACTGCGGAGACGCGAGTATGCTGTACGTTGAGCTGGATTCAACTGATAACTAGAACCAAGAAGGAAGCCGCTTTTATATACAAGACAACGCCCGAGTGCCGTTTGGCCCAAACACGATTCAAAGCCGAGCCGTAAGCCGAGTTCAAACCGAAAGCGAGTCGGTCAACAACAAGCTCTGCGAAGCCCAAGAAGTGGCCGCCCCTGCAAGTGAAAACCCCCTCCGCTTACCCGCTCTGGCAATTATTTTATGCTTTTATTTTATTTTTTTTCGAGTAACGAGAAAACGAGAGTGAAGTTCAGTTCAGTTCAGTTCAGTTGCCCAGAGATGTGGAGCAGCTGCTGTGGTTAGTCTTTGGAAATTGCCTGATTTGGTGAGATAACTTCGATGGGCTTTTTGGCTTTTGGTATGTAAATATGAGTATAATTGTGTAACGAATAAAACCTCAAATTAGATAATACCCAAAGAAATACGATAGGGGTTCTATCAAAACATATGATATTAAATTCAAAGTGAACCCTAATTAATTCATCTTAATTATGAAATCATGATCAGAATGAAAAAAGGTTAGCAATCAATGCATTTCCATCTCCCATCACGATTTAATTGAAATGGCCTTTCTGAAAATATATTAAACAATCTTCAAGCTTGAATAAAATTAACTGCAAAATACACACAAAATATATGTATATATTTTCTATGAATAAAATAAAAACAATGGCTGCTTCTTGAAGCTAAAATTGCATTTTCTGGTGGGTGGAGCATGTTGCAATTTGTTCGCTCGTCTATTTCGTGGGTTTCCCAGACGATGTTTTCTATGTTCTATGTTGTGTTTTTCCTCTTTTCTTGGGGCGTCATCTATTAAAGCTACCTTTTAATGGTGTTGTATACTGAAAAAAATATTTTACAAAAATTATGAACAATTGAGATAATTTATTGGTATTTTTTATGGATTTATTAAATGCTATTTAAAATTTTTATATAATGATAAGCCAAGTTTAGGATTTTTTAAAGCCATAGAAAACTTCTCATTTATTTATTTTAAATATTTAAATTAATTAACAGAGCACAGAAAATAATAGTAATTATATTTACATAATGTTGATGAAGAAAATATTTTACATACCTTTTAAAATCTAAAAAAACCGTTTTATTTATTTTCTTTTAATAAAACAATGAATTAAGAGAGCTCAAAAAATATTATTTAAAATATTTCTATAATGATTATCCTAAAAAAATTATATAAAAATAATTTAAATAATAATAGAGGAATACATCAGTTTTGAACAGCATTTAAGCCTGATAAAAAGATTTCTGTCTTATATATTTTATTTATTCACCTTGTTAATTTTTTAAATTCTAATATTATTTTCCAGTGCCTGTTCCTACTACTTACCATTCTTTTTAATTGCCATGTAGGCCGTTTTGCTTATTAAACCAATCTTGGCAAAAGGCCGCCGCCAGACCCGCTGAAGACGCTGTCGAAGTGGGGCGCAGCGTGGCGCCACATCATTATGGCCCAGTGCACTACGGCGACTCATTACCAGGCCGATAAAAACAAAAAAACTACAAAATAGCACTGGGTTTTGTCATATTTTTTGGCGCTGCCTCGCTTTGTTTTATGGCATATTTTCTGGTCTTGCTGCGTACTTGCCCTGCTTTGCCTCATTTAATAAATTGTCTCGAATTAGTGAGCTCTGCCCAGAGAGACTTGGCTAAAGCTAAAAAACAACAAATTGAAGTAATCATCTCAAGGTTAGCACGACAACGAACGGCAAACGATGTGTAACGGATCACTAACAGTGGTAATTGCAAATAGTAAAGCAGAGAAGGGGGTTTAAAAAGGGATTTTTAAATTATTAAAAATCTAAAAAAGTAGTAGAAGGTAACAAAAAGGTTCTCTAAGCTCAAGATATTTTATTTTATTTTCTTTATATTTTTTAAATAATTTTTAAAGGTTATTTTCATATAAATTAGACCCCCTATTATCGCCACCTTTGCTTGTAGATTTCATTTCAGACTAATCAAATTAGAGCACGATCTCTGATCAAGTCCTTTGTTTACAGAAAATGACGCACTGCCGTGCTCGCCGAAGTCAATTAATTGAATATTTTGCAGTCGAGATTGGATTTTGTGCAGCAAATGCAGTAATTGATTGCTTTCGATGAATGATTGAGCCATATTTGGCAATAGGTAGGGCAAGTCTATCTGAGATAAAACTAGGAAATTTATACATTTAAATTCTAGAATTGAAGTTATTTTTTAGAAGCTAGAACTCAGTTTACAACAAGTTATAGATAACATAAAACCTGTCTTGGCCACTTCCTCGATTAAAGGGGTTTCGTTTCCTAGATCTGGCTTTAACCCGTTACTTAAGTGTGTGGAAATGCCTTCCACTTATACAATTTTTAGTCTAAGAACCCCAGACGTGCAATGACAATTACTCTTTGGTCATATTGCTTGTTTCCTTTATGCTTTAATTATTCCAACCCCTTCCGCCATTTATTTCATTCATGATTGCTGTCTATATATCAGTTTTTATGACTCAGACGAGGAGTTTCAGAGGTTGGACGGACCACCCAAAGCCAAGTCGGCAGCCGGATTTGCAGAACGTGGCCTGCAGCATTAGTTGCAATCTCGTCAAGATCCCAGCTGTAAGATCCAAGATCCGAGATCCGAGTCTGGTCACTTGAGTTGAGATCTCACAGCTGAGATCTGTGAGTGCTGTGCTAGAGTGGCAGAGAGCTGGTGAGCTGGAAAGCTGGCGAGCTGGAGATCTGCGGAGCTGGCCATATTTTTCCAACGGCGGGTGCATGACATGAACAGTCGTCGTGAGTCCGGAGGTGTCAGAGAGCATTTGCTTAGTCCACAGTGAGTTAAATATATTTAAAAAAAATATTTTAAATAGTGAAAAATAATATTTTAATATTTTAATAAGAAAATATAATATTTTGAACTATATCCAAGTTTGTTCTATTAAAAAAAGATATATCCCTGCCTGATTTTATGCCAGAAACATTTTAAGATTATATAAAATCAAGCAGCAAGTGTTTTTGTTTATAAAAATTAAAATTAAATAATTATATACAATTTTCAAAATTCAGCTAATAATTTTATTAACATTTAAAACATTTCTTTTGCTAATATTTAATTTTATTCTATTTCAAAATCAATTTTAAAAATTCTTAAAAAGGCATATGGCATATTTAAAAATTGTAAATGATGTATATTTTTTAATAATAATAAAAAAAAATTTAAATACTTAATACAATTTAATTCAATTGAATGCCTAAATAAAATAATAATGCTTATAAAAATGTGCTTTAAAAATACAAAGAATAATTTTCTAGCCGCATTAAAATATTTGCTACTGATATATAAATTTTTACTGGCTCAAAATCTCTTTTAAAAATTAAAAAAAAATGTTATTAAATGTTATTATATTTTAAAATATTTTTACTGATATATAATTTTATATTAATAAACCTTTTTAGATACAAGAATTGGAAAACTAAGCATAAATAAAATTAAAAAAAAACCCAAGCTTAACCTTACTCACCCCTCTTTCTCTCAGTGCCTTCTCTGTCTCAAACTCGACTCAAAAACATACCTCAAGTTGATATATATTCAAACAAATTTGTTGTAATTAAAGCAATTTGTGTGCGTTGCCTTAGTTGCACTAGCTGTTGGCCTGCTGATTGAGTGGCAAATGTTTGCAGCCTTTCTTGATACTATTTTTTTTGTATTTTCTGCAACATGCGAAACAAGTTCGTTGCCCAAGTCATTCGTTTGATTTTGAGTTTCGTTCTGTCAGCTGAGAGCTGAGCTGAGCTGTTGTCTTGCGCAACATTTCGCCCCAAGGGGGAGGTGAGTTCACAAGTCAACAGAATGTGCAAGGTGCCCGGGGGAGAGGAGGAGAGAGGGGTGCACCAAACCAAAGTTATAATTTAAATTAATTATGCAAAACTGTATTGCAATTAACATATTGAACTGAAGTGAAGCCCATGGTCCGGCAATTAACATTTGCTCATGATTTGCTTTGATCACCTTTCGGCCAGTGGCTACCTCGCTTAACAAATGCCACAAAAATGTGGTAAAAAAAACCGCAAAAAAAAATTAAATACGAGTAACAATAGCAAACTGCAGTAATTGAAGAAATCTCTAAATCTGAGAGCTGACCTTGACCAAAGGCGAATGGCGTTCAGTGGAAATCAAACTGCAATCAATAAACAAAAGCGTTTCAGCTGGGTAATTGATTAATGAAATCTTTTTTTTTTTTGGGAATTTTTGGGGGGGAATAATAATAAATGCTTGTCATACTGTAAGTCTAATAAAAAATCTGATTATAATGTGAGGAAAATCGGTTGCCTTATCCCCCAAACACCAGCTAAGTGCACCCACTGAAAGATAAAACAGCACCAAGGTCAGGCCTTTTTTCCTTTACAAAAAACCCAAACTAAAGTGATTTCAAATCTGTGGATCTGTATCTGGATCGGGGTTTTAATTCTCTGACAGCTTAATGCCACAAAAAAATATACAAGTCCCTCTCTCGGTGGGCGTTTTGTGGGCTTATCAGCTGTACAATTACAAAAGGCTGAGGGAAGGGTGGGCAAATGGCTCAATCCGTGCAATTATGTCGCTTGAAATTTACATAGATCGCCCCAGCATCAGCTCTAGCTCCAACTCCAGCTTCAGCCTTAGTTTGAGCTCCATTGTTGTGAGATTTAGATCGAGTCCGACCTTCGGGCTTTGGCTGGCCAGGCTTAGAATGGAGGAGGCCCAAGCCAAGCCGAAAAGACAATTTGCCATGACCAGACCCAGGCCAGGTCGATTTTTAGCTGCATTTGGGCGAGTGACACAATCAGAAAAATTATCTTAAACTTTCTTTATATAATATAAAAATAATTTAGAATTTAAAATGTAAAATTTAACTATGAAAGAGAAGATTTTTATATTTTTCTAGAGAGTTTAAATGAAATAAAAATTGAATATAAATTCATTTATACTTTTTGGACTTTTTTTAGAAATA